TCTTTCCATTTTCCGATTTTCATCCAAAAAAGTAATTTCCCAAAAAAAAAAGTACCAAAATAAATTATATGTACTAGGATATAAAAATTACAAATAAAAAAAAACGAAAGAAAGAAGCCGGTAAAAAAATGCAAAAATTCTAACCGGAAGAAGAAGCCAAAGAGAAGGCCAAAAGGAACTATAGATGATATTAACGCTTCATATACAAATACAGAAAAAATATCCTTATATATTATTATAAAAGCTTATTTTATTCCCGACAAATATGTCCTTGAGCATATTCGCCCACAGTTATTTTCCATTATTTGTTGGAGATCAGAACAAGAAAAAGAAAAAACTGAAAAAATAAAAATGAAAATTTTTCACATATTTTTCAAAGAAAATTTTCTTTTCAAAATGAAGAAAAAAAATTCAAATCTCATTAAATTTGAATTATAATTTTATATACGTTTATTTGTATGTCTACTTAATATACATTATTTGAAAGCAATGGAACATTTTCTAATCTTTTTGAAAAGGTGAGATAGAGTAAAATTGGAAAAAAAAATTTCAAATTAAAAGATGAATAAGGTATTAGAAAATCATTTGTAAAACCTAAAAATCCGAAACAAGAAGAAGAATTTTTTTTTTCTTTTCAAATGATAAAAAATTTTCAATGAGCAGAAAATAACATCATTCTACTATAGCTATACATGCAAAATGAATTGTGACCTATACAACACATTCCATACATTCTTATAATCCATATATTATATAATTTATGTATACAGGGTGATTCTGAAAGTTATACAACGATATATGCCATTGGTTAGAAGATCGAAATTGGGAAAAACTTTTATTTCGAACGGGGCACCAAATCTCAAGGGTTTCCGAATTCTAGAGATTTTAACGAATTTTCACGAAATTTTTATTTATCCAGATATTTTTGATTCTAACTTTGGTGCCTAATTCTTTGTTTTTTATGTACCTCCAGAATACCAAGCTTTCGAACTTTAATGAATACGAGTATAAGATTTTTCCCTTGATTTTTTCAGTTTTTTCTAGCTAGATAAATTCGTAAGAAATGTTTTGGAACTTTGAAATTTTTTTTATAGAATTTTTCCTAGCTGCTTGAGTTTTATTGTAAGACTTCAAGCCTTAAAAATTTTTTGTGTTACAGAAGATTTAGCACAAAAACCTTTTCTATGTAAAGATTTTAAAGAAAGGCAAGAATTTTAAGCGTTGTAACTATCAACTATCATTAATTTTTGATGAATAGTTACTCGACAGAACCGTTATTTTCATAAAAAATCTGAATTTTAATGTTTTTATTGAAATGTAATAAATAATAAAAAAATTGAAACGAAATTTTATACAAACTTTTTAATTGAAAAACTAAAATAGAATTTAAAAAATTTTAAATTTTTGAAAAGAAAAACTAGAATTTTGTATTACGAAAAACACAAAAAAAATCTAGTAATCAAAAATTTTTTTTCGAAACTTTTCTTGGTAAAGAAAATGATAGGTTTTTAATTTTTGCCAATTTTTATAAGAAATTGTACCTATATGGTTTGAAATTTTTAAATGCATTTTTCTCAAATTGGGTGCAATTTAAAAATTTGAAAAAAATATTTCCGAAATCTAGACACTATTTGGCATCTGAAGTTATTAAAATTATCCAGCTGGAGCGAATTTTTAAAGGCATGCCTTATAAATTTTGATATTTATTTTAATTGAAAAAAATTTTTTTTAATAGGAGAATTTAATTTTTTTGAAAATGGAGTTTGTGGTTTATACATTATGAAGATGATAAATAATTAATAAATAATTTAATGGGATTAAAAAATTTAAACAAATTTCTACAAAAGCTTAAATTGGTATGCGGTTGATGCAACTAAGGAGGTATTCCAGTAAAGCAATTGATTTAAAATACTTATGTGATTGAATAGAAATAGATTTGAAAGAAGAAAAACATAAATTTTTGCCGAATTAGGTGAACTTCCTAGAAGAATTTGCCGTTCGTTTTGAGAAATTTTCCAAATTTTTTGATAAAAGAATATCAAATTGAATTGAATTTTAGTTTTATCAACATCTGGTCTGATTTTAATTGAATTTGTGGCTCACAATATTTGTGGTTTTTGTACTAAATCTTCTGTAACATAAAAAATTCTTAATGTTTGTATAATAACTTTAACTAAACAATTAAAGTTATTTATAATCTATAAAAAAAATTTCAAGATTTTAAAAAATTTCTTACGAAATTATCTAGTTAGAACAAACTAAAAAAATAAAACAAGGGAAAAATTTGATGGTACATAAAATACATAATCAAGCAACATGTCTATTTTGAGCACTTTACTAGGCCTTGCAGAAACTGTTTGTTTGAAGTTCCTATCTTTTTCAGAATGGAAGTTATAATCCAAAAACCTTGAATAAGTAAAAAGTTCGTTAAAATCCCTGGAACTCGGAAACCGTTGAGATTTGACACCCAGTCTGGAATAAAAGTTTTACCCATTTTCGATCTTTTAATCAACAGTATATGTTGTTGTAGAACTTCGTGAATGACCCTCTTTATACACGTATTATATAGATAAGCTTATTTGTACATGAAAATGCCATTAATTTTAAATTCAAAAATATTAAGGATTAAAGTATATGGTTGAAATAATTCAAATTATGTAATAAGATTTGAACCAGAAAGAAAAATGTTATTTTTAGATAACTTTTTTTATACTTTTGTTTTTTTTTTTTGAAAATTAGATTAAGAAAATTTAATTCGGAAAATCTATTTCTATAATTTTTTCAATAGAATTCGATAATCATATTCGATAGAATAAAAGTTATTGATAGCTACGTAAATAATATTTTTAATTAAGGATTGACAAGTTTATTAGGACTTAAAATATGGACGATAAAATAGAAAAGCCAAAAATAATATGAGAGTAGTTATGCTAAAATTAAAATTAAATACTTTTCACAGTTTCATTTCTTTTAAAATGGTCGCCATATTTTAAAAAAATTATACAATATAAAATATTCCCGCCTGAATAATTTTGGTGAGGGTTGCTTCTCAAAGACGAGTTTCATATGTTTCAGGCTCATCATTACACAACAAATATAGTCAATTTATTATTTTCAATATACTGGACAGAGTTTATTCTAAACGACAGTTCTTTGCCAATTACATTGGTCTGTTTGTATGTTATATGTATTCTGAAAATAACAATAAAGGGCATTGTAAAGAAATAACAGAATTAATATTTTAATTAAAATTAAAATATTAAAAAATTCTGTTTTGTAAATATTATAAATTGCAATTTGTTGAAAAAAATAAAATTATTCTCAAGTCTAAATTAAAATGTTAAAACAAAACAGTTGAAAAATTCCAAATAACAATTTCTGATTTTTTAACCTTTTTTTTTTTTGTGCCCTTGTTAAGTCATTAAAGTACACGTTCCACTTTTATAATTAATTTTTTAAATGGAATTATCATTAAATTTAATATTCTCAAATCGATTATATCTGTAAAGCAATTCAATTTAATAAAAAATAAATTTTTTAATTTTTGAAAATTTTCAATGAATTTAAAATAGAAAATTTCATTTTGTTTTGGTTTCGATCTGAAAATTATATAAGGTCTTATGACATAAGAAAGTCCTTTTCCACTTGAATTTCTTTTTGGTCTGTAATTGCTAAACTTTCCAAAACGGATTATAGAAAAATGAAAGAATGAAAAAAATTGTTTTTATATTTTTTTTTTCAATTCAAAATAAAAGTTGTTAATAGAATTATTTTAACAGCTGGACTAAAAATTGTGAAATGGATCTATGAATTTATTGACAATTCAATTTTGGAAACGAAAATGTATAAGCTTCTTTTGGATTAACATTTACGTAATTTGATGAAATTCAATTTTTGCAGCTGTTCTCAATTGTCGTACGTATACGGGGTGATTCACAGAGTTATGCAACAATATAGACCGCATTAGTTAGAGGGTAAAAAATTGGTAAAACTTTTGTTCTGGGCTAGGTGCCAAAGTCAAGAGTTTCCGGGTTACAGGGATTTTTATAAAATTTTTACTTGTTCCGAAAATGATTTTTTTACTAGGTCCTTTATTAGGCTTTTAAGAACCTGTTTCTTTGAAACCCTTTTCTTTTCGGAACGGAAGTTATAAGCAAAAAAAACCTTGTATCTTCATTAAAATTCTTGTATCACAAAAGCCTTTGTGGTTTTATCCATTTTTAAACCTTTAACCACTGGTATATTAAGTTATACACCTTTCTGAATCACCATGTATAATAATTGTCATAAACTTATATTACTAAAATTTATTGATAATTAATTGATTATTTATAGATAAATTTGTTACATAATTTTAAAATGTAATTAAATTAATGCAGTTTCTTTCGTTGTTGCATAATATACTTTAAATTTTCAAAAATTTTTATTTCATTTGAAATTTTTCTGTAATTACAAAATGCTTAAATATATTAAATAAGACACAAAACAACTGAATATATTTCATGGAATATTCATGTAAAAATTTTTTTTCCCTTCTTCACTCCTAGGAGGAGATATTCTAGAATTATATAGTTAACTATGTAGGTGACTAGCCTGTAAAAATTTAACAACTATAAGTTCATAAGTAATTAAATTATAGTTAAAGTTTGACAAAAAAATTATTTTAAATTTATTAAAAACGGAATTTAAAAATTAATTATACACAAAAAAAAAAAATTAGTTTTAAACTTTTAAAAACAAAAATTAGTGGATGAACATTTTTACAAAATCCCTGTATAATCTTGCTTTAAAAATTCTATTAATAAATCGAAATTTTTTTTTTTTTTAATTCAAAACACCCTAATCCTTTTCAAATTATATTAAAGTATGGTAAAATAATTTATATTATAACGGTACCAACTTTTACCATTAAAATTTTCAATAAATTCACTATAAGAATTTCCGATAAAAAAACAAAAAAAAAAAAAAAATAATAAAAAATATTAAAATTCCAAACTTACCTCTTTAATTTTTTTTCTGCTGTTTTTTATAATTTTTTTTTTTTTGTTTTTATTGAATTTTAATCCAAAACAGAATTCTTTAATAACCAATGATTTGACTTTCAATTCCACACCTCTCTTTCTGTAATTTTTAATCTTTTCAGTTTTTTTTTGTGATTTTGTTAAAATTTTTTTATAAACCAAATTCGTCTTCAAATTAATTCAATACAAATATAATTAGAAACTTTTGAATATAGAAATTTATTTATACGCCTATAATTATGCAAAATTTTAATTATACTTTGATATTGTTTTTTAATATGATTTTTGTTTATTTTTATTTCTTTATATTCAATGGATTTATTCTATGAGTTTTTAAATTAAAATTGAAAACGTTTAAATCAAAAAAATAAAACAGTTACTTTAATAAAAGCACATAACGTAAAGAACTTTAACTAATTGATTTGTTTTTCTTTTGAACTTATTTACCACTTTTTTTATATAACAAATTTAAAGAATAAAAATTGAGCTGGTCGAAGAGAGAAAAATGAAATAAAAACGAAAAGTTTTACGAAATCGAAACGAAAAATTCCAATTCTTTGTTAGTGCAATTTTATTCTGGTTGTTCCTGTTTTTTATTCACTTTACATATACACACACATTCATATTAATTTTTTCACTCTCCTGAATTTTTCTTTTCTCTAATTCCAATGGAAATTAAATAAAAAAACTTTTTAATTACATAAAAATGAGAAAAACAAAACTTTACGAATTTTATTTTTTTTTTGTTTGCAAAATTTTCCGGTTTCTTTTTTTTTTCCTAACTTTAGAATTTTTTTATTTTATTGTTTTTTCATTTTTTTGCTTCTTTTCTGTTTAAAATCTACAAGTTCATCAACATACATAAAACATATTTCCACTTCTATAATTTTTATTTATTATAATCGGAAAAAAAAAACAAAATAATGAAAAATCAAAAAGGATAACATGAAATAATAATATTGTACCTATATAGTTTATCGGATGTACATATCGTATGCATTTATAAACATATATTATATATGTATATCCTCTACTAATATGTGAAATATTTTTCTTGTTTGTTGTTCTTGCTTTTTAGATTTGTATGGTTTAATTTTACAAATTCCATTTATATCCAATTTTCATATTGTGGCTAGATGGTTTCTGGTCTTGGGATACCTAAAATTTAAAAAAATAGAAAGAAATATAAGATAATTAGAATAAATTGTAGTTATATTTTGAATATATTTTTTTTTTACATATTTTCAAATAAATTCTTTTTAATTTTTTAGAAATATAGTCGAACATCCAACACAGAACTCATTTTGGGAAAATTCTTTATAACACAAACTATATTATGTTTCATTTTAAATCATATTTCTTTCTACGTCTAAATAAGATTTTTTTCTAAAACGAACTGGTTTTGTTACAAAATTATGGTTTGAGTTACAGAGACCCGATTGTATATATTGTTTTCAACTGAGAGCATTATAATTAGATTTGCAATTGAACTTTAGTTTTAGTATTACAGTCGCCCATACGCATATTTTTTTTTATTACCAATATTACTTTAAATAAAAAAAAGTCAGAGAATGCCTACTACAAATATTTTTTAAAAATTAATATGTACTCGTATAAATATATCTTATCAAACAACGTAATATATTGGAACTGAGCTGGCCAATTTCATATATTTGGAAGGAAATACAATAGTTTTTTTATTGAATAACACCCAACATTTATTTAAAATATTTGGAATTAATGATTCGAAACAATAACAATATTTTTCACGTTATAATTTTATTTTCAAATACAGAACACTGATAAAGAGATGACTCGTTTTAATAACAAATAATATGCTTAACTACTCATCTAAAACTCGTAACACAACTAGTAAATGTAAAAGAATAACTAAAAAATTTATTACGCTTATTTATTCCATGAATAAATATTAAATTTTTTTTTTGATATTTCTAATAAATTAGCATTTGATCCTATATATATAACCAAAATTCTATACAAAAAAAATTATTCGCTTTAAAAACTATTCCAAACTAATCTCAACATATTCAGCACTCGGTGGATGATTCCGTATTTAAGAGTTCCAATACAAACTAAGGACCACTCTGTATAAAATTATGTATATTGCATTTTTTATAACAAAATAATATTTAAATTGAATTAACTTCTGTATAACTCAATTACGATTATATTATTATATATATAATTTCCGTTTATTAAAGATCATTAAAATATAACAACTATTATTTAATCTTATTTCAACATCTGTTAATTTTATTTGTTAAATAGCTATTAAGAAGATAGAATTAAAAACCACAAACAGGATATTCAACAAATATATACACATTACATATTTATATATTATATAAATACACATTTTATAACAAAATATACATATGTACATTGTTTGTAATAAAATTTAATGCTTTTAGTTTTCATTTTGTCTTTTTTGTTTTTGTTCCAACATTATTTTTTTTTTTTGTAATTTATTCAAATGATTTTCATCAAAATAATAAAAACTGCAAAATGAAAATTATTATAAAAATCTAACCTACAGTGATTCATAACATTTTTAAATTAAAAAAAAATATTTTTCATTAATACAAAACTGTGGTTATGAGTTCGCCAAAATTCAATTTAAGAATATAAAATTTTGAAAAGGATGTACGATAATTGACATTATTACCTTATTAATTATCTTATATATTATATACATATTATAATTATTCTGGCCCAGACGAATAAATAACACAGACCTCTAAGCTTTAACACACCAAGAGCCTATTGCAAGAGAAATAAAGAAGAAAAATGGCGGTGGATAGGCCATACATTACGACGACCACCCGAAACAATTGCAAGGCAGGTGTTGGAGTGGAACCCGCAAGGAAGAAGAAGCGTTGGACGTCCCAAGAATACATGGCAAAGAACAATAAAGAAAGAAATCGCCACGGCAAACATGACATGGGCAGGAGTAAAACGAATGGCCCCTAACAGAGTTCGTTGGAGAAGCTTTGTGGATGCTCCCAAGAGGAGTAAAGCAGGAAAAAAAAAAAAATTATCTTATATACATATAATATTATGTTTCATTATTCTGTTTATATTTAAACACAACAATAGCATGAACACAAATTCAATTCCGAAGTAAATACGTTACATTGTTGGAAAAAAAAGCAAAAATATTGTTATATGACCTTAATGTTCTTACGGGAACTCAAACATGAACAAAGCAAAGTGAAAAATTATTACGTGCGGAATAACACAAAGATTGAACAATGAGAACCGACAATCAATTTTTTACGGTATCGCCATAGTCAATCAATTGAGCTTGAATTTCTAAGCTTTTGTAAGAAAATCTAATTTTAAATACACACAAATGAATTAATATTTAATACGTTCATTTTCTGAACCCACAGTAAAATTTCCTCCATATAATATATATGTACACATATATACGAGTATAGTATAATAATATCTACTAATGTATTATTTATATACTTATATGTTTCAAATAACCAACAGATTGTCCTTTTATTTTTATTATTCTTTTAATAAACTTTTATTTTATTATAATTTTACATTATTATTTGAATATTATGATGTTTTTATTTGTCTTTTTTCTTGTTTTTTTTTTTTATTATTTACATCTGAGTAGTTTTTCAACACAGTTTTCATCTTATTTCTTAGAGTATTATGTATAAGTACGTACAAATCTCTCTCACACCATACATACACCCCTATCCATATATACTACAGACAAAGTATGTATTTCTTTAAACAATACATAAAGATTTTCTGTATAGGGTTCTCATTCATGTAGTAAAAACTGTAATAAAATAAAACGCGTTTTAATCCGATTAAAATACATATTTATATTTGTTTTTGTTTTCCAAAACACAAAAAAAAAAAACCTTACAAAAATAATGTTTGTTTTGTTTTTTATTTTCTAATTTTTACTCTTAAAGGAAAGGACGAAAAAAAAATGTATAATAAAAAAGAAGGACATGTAAATTATCTTTGCTGCTATTAAAGAAAAAAAAAACACTGTTTTATGAAAAAGCAGAACATGAGTTTTTTTTTTGTCATAAAAATAACTTTTTAAATATTATAAAATAATAATAATAACACACAAATATAATAAACAGGGTGATTTAAAAATATTCAAATATTGTAAAGCAATAGGGCTATGAACATTTTTAGATTAAATAAAAGTATTCGTATTAGATCTGAAATAATTATCGAAACAAATTATTTTAATTCATCTCTTCATATGAGATCGAATGAAAATAATAAAATATTGCGTACTTTTAATTTTTAATCTATAGAGAAAAAGTATTCAGAAGACATAGCACAACTAAAAATAATAGCTGTAGGCAGGGTTGCTCTAAAAATACTAATTTTTTATATTGAATTTATATTAAATTAGCTCAAACTATTGTTTACATTAACCTACATGAAAAGGTATAGATTAGAAAAGTACAGTAGGAGGAGAACAGGGTTGTTGTCTACTTTTACGAGTATGCAATAATTCTTTCCTCTAAAATGAGGTTTTTGGTTTAGAATATGTAGTGTAGCAACAGCATATTTTTTTTAATCTGAATTATATGAAATAGTTTGTATACTCTTGAAACAAATTTTCGTATTCGATAAATTTTATGATAAATATTATTACTAATTTTTAATTATTAATAAATTCATATTATATAACATAAGCTTTAACAAAATTTTTAACTGGAGCAAATTGTGTGCGGCACAATTATTTAGCTTGATTACTAAGCTTACTTAATTCCAAAATTATTTAATGACGCGTTTCAACATTTAAAAAACTCAATATTAAAAAATTAGTTTGAATTTTGTAAATTTTAGTGTGTTTGAAAACTGAATAGATATTTTTAAGCTTTCCATATAATTGTGTATAAAACACAAGAAACACACTGTATATATTTATGTAATTTTCTCTACATGCGTAATGTTATACATTTGAAAAACATGTAATATGCATAATATTATATGATTAATGGACCATTATTTTTAAATGCAAAATTTTACTCTAGAGATTCATTTTCAGCTGCATTTATTTGCCATAAAAACAATGAAATAAAATTGAATATATAAAATTTGGGCTTTACGTATCACTTAAAAATTTAATTTTAAAATTTAAAAATTAACAATGAAAAACATTTATTTTTAAAATTATGAAACGTACATGTCTGTACCACAATTAAATTGAATATAAATTGGCTTTCTAATAATCGGAGTTTTAATTATTACGATTGGAATCGGAATTAGTCAGCATAATATTATTCTTAACAATTTGTTGATAACAGGAGAGAATCTGTATGAAATCATTACTATTAATTTCAATATAGACACAATTTATACTATGAGCTGTTAGGAAATTATGTTCTGTATGAAAATGTTTTCTTCTTTTTAAAAATTCATTCACGCTATAACAATATTTAACATTAAGGCAAGAAATAAATGAAAACTAGAAAACAAATGAATCAGCTGGTAAAAATATGAAACCAGGAAAAAGTAAATAAATTTGAAACAAACCCATAATTTGCAAAATAGCAAATTTTCCTTTTCGGCAATATTGCTCTTTTATAGCATGTTCTATTAATACTTCAAATATTGCATAATTTTAGGATGAAAAAACGATTAAAGAAGCTTTGATAAATTGCTGAAATCATATGGCCAAAAAATCTTCTTCCCTAGTGAGGGACCCTAGTTTTTAGAGAGAGGAAAAATGTACTCGTACATAATGTGATGGAAGAAATGGACGAACAAAGTAAAATTAATAAGATCTTTTTTTT